CATCATAATCAACACCACCACCGCCGCCACCACCACCACCCCCACCACCATCACCGCCATCATCATCATCACAAATATCATCATCAGCATCATCAGCATCATCATCATCCACATCATCAGCATCATCAACATCATAATCGGCATCACTATCATCGTAATCGTCATCGTCGTCGTCATCAACGTCGACATCGCCACCGTCATAGTAATCAGCATCGTCATCGGAATCGCCGTTGTTAGCGCTGTCATCATCATTATCATCAGCACCATCGTCGTCAACATAAGCATCCGCTACATCATTATCAGTAACATCAGCATCATCATCACCACCACCACCAGCATTGTCGCCCGGCGGACGACAGCAGTGAAGCCAAAGTGTCGGATCTTTTCTCCAGCAAGAGAACCCTCGCACTCTCTTCTCAGCACACAGCTCCCAACGCTGCACAAACAAGGCGCGGAACGGTATGGGAAAGGAAGAGGGGTAGGGTGAATATGGTATGAGTGATGAGGAATGGGTGGAAGTTGGGTCTTGAGCCAAAACGGTTACGACCCGTGCTCGTGACCTTCAAGCTCAGGGAGTCTAGCAGGGGCATCGGCCTTGAAAACCACCGGCCTCTAGACTCAAATCACACAGTACCCCGACAAACAGTGAGCTTGATAGGTCGCGAAGGCACCGCGGCCCTCCTCTGAGCCAATGGATCGCACCATCTTGGAGAGAGAGGAATGGGCACTCTAGTGCCATTTGTGCAAATACTGCTGCTGCCGTCGTGCCGCAGCGAGTCCTGACGACTTCGCTCCGGCCTGGCTGGTCACTGATATCTCGCACGGCCCTGACGACCCTCGAGAGACGTGCACCGGCCATGCCCCGCCAGACTGTGACGACTGTCACTCGGCATGGGACGGCTGAACAGCACTGGCCTTGCCATCGTTCTCCTGCTGCTGGAGTTGCCTCTGGGATTCGGCTCTGGAGCGGCCTTTCTTACGGGGGTCCTCGCGCCGGCCCTCGAGGGCCCCGCTTTCCGCCGAGAGACGCAAACACCCAGAGCGGAGCAGCTCATATTGAGCCGCGTTGGTTTTGGCAAGGTCCGATTTCGTCATGCAATCGACCGGAAGTAACGGGCGCGGCACCCAACGAATCACGCTCCCGACCTTTTGCATGATATCCCGAACGACCGCGAGGTCGATCGCGGCCCGACGATCGGATCGAGAACCATTTGATAGCTTGCTGAGGGTATCACACATTCCCTTGGCGTCGACTATGCTGACACACTCCGAGGGCGAGTGAGCGATCAGCCGGCAGTCTTCCTTCAAAACGGCCGCAAAGGGGCCGACTTTCCCCTGCCATGCTTCTGACACCACGTTCCCTCTCACAACATCTTCGAACATGAGATGAAGCCACTGAGTTTCAGCAAGAGCTCCAGAGAGCGCCAGCGTCTCTCCTGCGAGAGTGCTCGCCACCTGGCGCTTGACTCGGCACGATCTCCAAGCTAGGGGTTGGCCCTCGCACGTTGACCGTGCGCTAAAGCATTGTCTGCTAAATAGACCTGCCATGCTTGTTGTGGGAACATGCAGTCATCCGAGCCGACTCCTCCGCAGTCGCTGGCCGTCGCGAAAATGCAGCGGGAGGGGTCGAACTTGTGAATTATCACGGGCATGCTGGCCGTGGACCTAAGGTGATCCACCATCTTATGTGGCTCGACCAGGTCTCTGACGCATGGTGAGTTCACTTTGGTCGCTAGAATAGACGCGCAGCCGGCAGCCTCAGCACGGGATTCCCGTCCAACCCAGTTCAATTTGTAAACCAGGTTTCGGAACTCCGCCACCTCCGCCCCAACCAGGGGACTGGAGTGATCCCCACGACGCCCCCTTGACAGCGGTATCTTGCGGACCTGCTCGAGAATGTATTTTTCCTGGTCCACAAGAATACGCGGCGCGGCGGTACCGTGTCCCACGAGTCGAAGCCTTCGACCGATATACTCAACTCCGGCCTCGTCGAGATTCTCCATTTTTCCGAACGTGAAACGCTTCTTAAACTCGGTCAAATACTTGTTCTGTTGACCCGGAGGGAAAGCGATAGCCCAGTCGTCAACCTCCAGCAGCACCTGCGCGACTAGGGGACCATTTTCCTTCCGGGAAAACCAGCAGGGCTCCAACTTGGCCCTCGTGAAGCCTTGTCCCTCTAGAAACCTGGCCGACGTCTCATGAAACGCGAGAGGGGCGTCATCGAGCCCATATGCAGGAGCAATGAGCTCAATGAGAGCTCCGGCCGGAAGGTTCAAGCCCTCGCAGGGCTCCACAAAAACCCGTCCCCTGGGCCGCTTAAGCGGATCGGACTGACAAGAAGCGTTCTTAATGTCGCCTATATGGACCTCTAAGCCATACATGAGAGATATGGCCAGAAACAGCATGAGAGATTCCATGGATGGCGTAGGGGCATAAACTTGGAGTTCAGCGGTGTCCTCATCTTGGCGCCCCCTCACGCACCAGCGCGACTTCGCCTTAGGTCGGGCCCCGACACTGCCTCGGGGCTTCCAGCGGCGGACTATCGAGACGACCCGATTGGGAAACAGCTGCCTAAGTTGACGCCCCTGTCCGGAGCGTGAACTTTCACGGACTTGGTAGCAACGATCCCCTCCCACTCCTGCAAGTCGGAAGAGGCGAATTCCCTCTTTTCCTCAGGCGTGAGGTCTTTGAGACGAACCTCACACCCTCGATTAGCTAACAGTGAAAGAGAAAAGCCACCCGAGTCTCCGGGCAGAACTTCACAGTTGGCATTGCCGTTGTGATACTGGGCCCAGGTGCCACTCCACCCCTCCTCGTCTAAAGCCCTTTCCACGTCATTGATATACGACGCGAGTTCCTCATCACTCATTTCCAGAAGCGCATCTACTTTCGCGTCACTCATCTCAAGAAAGCCTGACATAGGAACGTCTTCCATGGCGGACCCCGGGGGCCGCTCAGGGGGAGGGGACCTGGAGCGCCTCGCTGGTCTGGATTCCGGCCGACCTTCCAGCTCTTGGACCTGGGTCCGAACACGCCCCGGTGGGACCCCGCTGAAGTCCTCTCCCCTGGTGACCGAAAAACGCTGACCCTGACGTTTCATGCCCAAGTCTAATATCTCCTTCCGAAGAGCCGTTCCATCCATAATCGGCCTTGGCACATTGGACTCCCCACTGGGTGCACCATCACCCGGGACTTTGTCCGGCACTACGGCTCTCGTCCATGCGGGAGTCTGCTGCCGGATCAGCGATGACGGACGCCTGCTGGGGCTCGGCCTCCAGCCGCCCTCCTTCTGGAGCCTGTTGGAGTGGGAGAGGCTGAGAGGAAGAGGAATTGGAAGACTGACCCTGCACTGGACCGCTCGAGAGCGGAGGGAGCAAGGCAGCTCCCTCCGGATCAACTTGAATATACTTGTGCGGTCGTGACTCTTCTTCTTCGTCCCCTCCCTCGGCACTGACCTGCCTAGAGCGAGATAAATCCGTAGGTGGCCTGGTATCGCCCCCTGGACCTGAACCCGTGGCGTCAGCGACTTCTTCCTCTGGGATGGGCGACAGCCCGGGAGGGGGAACCGGCCGCTGAACGTTGCTCCCAGGGGCCTGAGACCTGGCGGGAGGAGGAAGCGGAGCCTGAATGGGTGAGGCTTCCACTTCCACACCGTGTCCTGGTTCCCAGGCCTCACGAGGTGGCGGTCCTTCGGCCGCCACGTTGATCCCCACGCCCGCGCGGCCCACTTGGGCCTCTCGAAGAAGTTTCTGGACCCCAGGGTCAGACATAACTTCAGCGCCCTGAGCCTCTGGTGACGTCGCAAGCCTTACTTCCACAAGCGACTCCTCATGGCAACCCACACGGCCCCTCCGGACTGGAGAAGCACCAGTCCAGGTCCGACCCAACGGTCACGCTGGAGCGCGTACGTTTTCTTCCCGGAGGTCGGGGCTCGGCGCCAGACAAAAACCCACTGCCCTGGATAGACCTTAGCGTCTCTGTGGACATTACCCTTCGAGGCTTCCGCCAGCTTCCGCCTGCTTGAGGAGCGGAAAAGCTCCTGTCGAGCCAGATCCCGGATAGCGTGCTGCCTGGCGTAGTCCGCGGCCGCCGTGTCCTGGTCCCATGCCGTCTGAACAAGGTCTCCCTCCCCCACCTGTCTCACGCCATCGTCTGACAACATGTCATTGGGGAGTCTTGGGTTGACCCCGTAAACGAGTTGAAACGGGGTGTAGCCTCCTCTGTGGAGGTAGCGGTTCTTGGCTGCCACGACCTCGTGGAGAAGGGATTCTAACTCGGCTCGGGTGGTGATGAGACTGCTCTCGGAGGCCATAAGCAAAATCTGTTTCACCCACCCCCCGTGGCGCTCAACACGCCCATTTTCCCAGGGACTCTCGGCGTCTATCACGTGCTGGAAGACGCCGAGATGCTCGAGGCCTCTCTCGAAGTGGCCCTTGAACTCGGGCCCCCCATCCGAGAGCACCATTTCAGGAGGTCCGAAAGGCCTGATCCAGGCCCTGAGAAAAGCCCTCCACGCCCCCTCCGAGGTCCCGTCGAAAACTTCCACTATCTGGAAATTCGCGCCGTGGCAAATGCGATTCAGCACTGGAATCGATTCCTCTTCAAAATTAACGTAGAAAGTATCGACAGCCATCACCCGGTTAAACTGGAAAGTACGTGACATGGCCACTGAGCGATGCCCGGCGGGCTCAACTTGGGCTTGGCAGTCGGCACGCTCATACTCGTCTCGGACAAATCGAATGACATCAGGACGAGCGCGTGCCGCACGCAGGATCTTGAGAAAGATCTCTTTGCGAGGATGTCCCAGATTCACATGAACTTTGTGAATCAGCCGCTTCATGGGCGCGGTGATCTCCACTTCGTGCTCTCCAGGAACCTCCTGGAGAGCGGGCTCCTCGGCCTCACCTTCCGCGTCTTCTCCCTGCTCTGGAAGCTGCTCCGAGGACTCAGCCTGACTGGGGAAAGCTTCGACCCCGACCCGGCACACCCCAAGATCTTCTGAGCAGATTTCCGCCATCTCCTCAGTGGTGAGAAGACTCTCTTGTTCCTGAATGCTTCTGAGCACTGCATCGGCGAAGGCCTTGCAGAGCTTAGGGGGGGTACACCTGTGACTTCCTGGTTATGTGTCCCCCTTCCAGGTGATGATGTTCGTGGCCGCCCCTACACTGCCGTCCTGACAGCTGGCGGAAAAGGGCGGGGTCGTTGGTCATGACACGGGTGGATTTGCGAGAAAGGACCCCTTCGACCACGGACAGACCGAACTCACACTGGTCTATGACCACCTCCATGACCCCCGGAAGCTTCCTGATCACATCCACAACATGCTTTCGCCAGGACGCGGCCCCATTCGGATGTTCAAAAGCAAAACGTCGACCCTCCTGAACCTGGACAAGTGCCAGCTTCATGAAGAAAGCCAAAAGGTCCAGAGCTTCTCTTTTCTTCCGCTCTTGAACCTCCAGAGGCTCGGGAGAGGTTTTCCGAAAGAGCTCCCGGATCGGACTGAACTCAGCGCACGGGGGTTCCAGGAAAATCATCCACGGCTTCTTGGTCCGAACGAGCTCCATGGCCCTGTCCTGATCGTCTTTCTTCCTAAAGTCCCACCCCGTCGCCAGATCGAGACTACCCAGGGCGCGCAGTCCTGCCTCCCCCAGGAGGGGGGCGACTCGGGGTGGAGAGAAAACTTCAAGAAACGACCTCGACTTGAGATCCGAAGAGACCCTGCCATTGGCCACCAGAGACTGAAGCTGTCTCCTCTCGCTCTTAGTGAGAAACACTTCGTGGTCGTCGTTGTTCTGATCCCCGAGGACCGCGTTCGCCCACAAGGGCATAAGAAACTCGATCCACCGAGACCCGGTCCTGGACAGAGGCCTTGCCCCCATTGACAGAAGCGAATCCAGCACTTGGCGACGCTTGATCTTCCCCGGAGAAACTGAAAAAGTGACCCCCCCGGGATGAGGCAGCTTCTTCGCCCTCAGCTCCTGAGACAAGCGCCCGCTCACGTCCAGCGGCCGTTGTGGAAGGTCTTCCACCCGGCCTCCTTCCACTCGTGGTATTCCTGGCGCCGCTTCTCGGCGGCCTTCTCCTCCGGGCCCGGCGTCCACGGGTCTCTGTTCTCCGGCTTGCGTGAGGGAGTACTCTTGCCCTTATTGTTGCCCTTGCCGTAGGGACCGACTGCTGCCGTTGGCGGGGCTGCCAGGTCCGTGCCCGGGAGTGAAATGCTGGCCTCCGTGGTCAGCGCCCCCGTGGAGCTGATCGGCATCTCGTCCGCAGTGAAGAGGCGGTCCAGATTGCGCGGAGGAGTCACTGCGTCCTTCTTCTGCTCGACCGGGGGACCGTGCGTCCGATAGCCTCCCAGCGCTGGTGACCTCGTCGGTTGCGGCGCCCCCGCGTTGGCTGCCGCCTGCTGGCGCAGCATCGCCTGGGAGGCCATCGCCGCCGGCACACTCGCCCCGTCGAGAGGTGCGTCCCAATGTAGGCCCACGCTGTTGGAGCCACTCCTGGCGGCGCCCCCGCTGCGAGAGGTGGCGGGCTCTGAGGCTGTGGCTCGGTCATCTGCTGGCCCAGTGACGAAGGATGCCCCGACGGCACTGGCCGTTGTGGAACCTCTCGAGCCTGCGGTGCCCTGGCCTCCGCCTTGGGGGGAGAGTCGATTGCAGCGGCTGTGACCTTGACCTGGTCCGCCTTGCTGCTCGAGCTGCCCTGCGCTATGGCCCTGATCATTCGGCTGGCCTCCTGCGCCTGTCCCTGGGCTGTCGCGATCGCCGTCATCTGCTCTTTTACGGTGGTCGCGACCCGCTCGAGCGCCTCCTGCTGCGACGCCTGCGAGGCCATCACCCCCTGGATCATGGCCTTCATCTCCTGAAATTGACTCTCGACCATACCCTTCAATGTCCCTCTCGGTCTTGGCCTGGTACTCGCGCATCTCCTCGAGTGGGTCGGAGGCGGTGTCCATGGCCTCCGTGTCGCTCTCTGGCTTGCGCTTCGCTGAGGACGCCCGGCGAGCTGCTGCTGCTGCGGACCTCTGTTCCGCCAGATCCTTCTGCAGCGCCTCGGTGACCTTCGCCGCGCCCTCCGCCACTCGCTGATACGCCAGCTGCCGAGCCGTCATGAATGAGCCGCTCGCCAGACCTCCGGCCATCATGTCCGGGTGAAGAGGTAACGGAGCCCTCTCGGCTCCAGGAGGTGGCTTGGGCACGCATATGAAGGCCTGCCACTGTGGCTCGGCGGTCGCGCCCTGAGCCCAACCTTGTCCACGCAGCGTGCACGCGGCGTCCTTCTTCTTGCACAGGCACATCTTCTCCTCTTTCACGGTCCCTTTTGTCGGCCTCAGCTCCCAGTATCCGACCCTCATCGTGCACCCGCTGCATACGAACCACTTCCCCCACGAGTTGGCTCCGTAGTTCACGAGCGTCGGCGGGTGCCAACACGTCTCGTACGCCTCCGAGAGGCGACGAAGAGACTTGGGCAGGTTGGTCGGCCAGAAGCGCTTGGCGCGGCACATACTCCCGAACTCTTCGGCCAGACGCGCCGACCAATATAGCACCCACCCGGCCAAGCAGGCCCATCCCTTCTCGCCCTTGTTGAGGTTCTCCGGGACGTAGGTCCCGGTGGCCCCGTAGACCCATGCTGAGTCCGTCTGGCTCTGCATGCGATCCGTCATCGTATGTGGCCGCTCCTGAGCTCCACGACGCCCCCTCTGGCCTGCCACGCGGGTCGTCGAAGCAGCTGGCGGCGTCGCGATCTGCTCTCCAATCGGCCTCTGAGTTGTCGAGGCTACTGTCGAATTGCTGTGAGCTGAACGATTCGAGCCCAAGTGCTGCGAGGAAGGCGGACGAAGTCGAGGCTGGCCTCGTGGCCCACGTCGGCCACCTCCAACCCCGCGCTGTCGACCCCCCCTGGCTCTGAAACGTCTCGACCTGGAACTCAAAGCCCTGGCGAGTCCCGAAGTACAAGTACTGCTCAGCGCGGAGTCGGAGGTGCCGCCCGACTCCAGACCCCTTAGTGGACCTGTTCTGGAACCTAAGTTGTCCGGCCCAACTAAGGCCCCGGCGAGCGTTCCGACCACATCTGACCTAAGATTCTCCCAGAAAAAGGTCCCGGACCCCCTCAGACGCTCTTCCGCCCCCCTCAGACTCCCCCAGCAGCTTCCGTGGTACAGCCCCCCCAGGCCAGTGCTGACAGAAGACGCGATGATGTACTTCCCCTCGGCTTGAAACGCATCCTTCGGCAGCTGAGGGCGCGACCTAAACACGGAGGCTGGAGCTTTAAAGTCTTTGGCGGGAACCGAAAACTTGCCCACCTGCATGGCGCGGTGGGCCGACGGGAGCCTAGTCAGAGGCGTCGCGACCCCCAACTTCGTAAAAGTCAGAGCTTTGTTCGGAAGATCTACGATCCCACCTAGCATTTCTTGAAATCCTATCGGCAAAAGGGGTGGAACGTCCTGGTCCAGGACATCCAGCTCCAGCACCCCCACGCTACCCTCAATGCCTACAGGGATCAGAGCGGTGTGGGTGGCCTTTACCCCCCCACCTACTCCGCGCGCGCTAGGGTTCCTGGGTGGAACCCTTGGGACGGCGAGCCCATTTGAGGCCCAGTGCCCCTCGATATTCTGCAAAGCTTGCTCTCCTACGAGGCCCTGACCGGCCGCGGTGTCGACCACCATGGCCCCAGGACCTACGGCGAGCAGGACAACTGCGTAGGTTGGAGGAGGAGGCTCGTCAAAGCACTGGGAGGTGGAGCGATCTAAAGCATTCACATACAGGAAAGTCATACCCGTGGCAGGGGACCCCTTTTCGTCCTTGGCTCCTGCGCCCTGCTTCTGTGGGCACTCTCGAGATCAGTGTCCCTTCTGATGACAGACACGGCATCTCGTGCGCTTAATTAATTCAGCAAGCGGAAGGCGGCTCTTCCGCGCTCTGAACGCGCCGTCTGCTGCCCTGTGGCCGGGCCTGCGAGCCTTCTCGCGCCCATCACTGCCACGGCCCTGGCCAGACCTATCGTAGAACTTCCGGTCGGTCTTCAGCTGTCTCTTCAAGTCGCGGTTCTGCTCCCATGTCTTGCGACGCTCCTGGTTGATGGCGGCCAGCGCTGCAGGCGCGTCGTCCTCCCCGACGTCGGCCGACTCCAGGATCGCCCAGACCTCTGCTTCCCCGTCTGAGTCCATGGAGGAGACATCCGAATAGTCGAGCAAGGACTCGTCGTCGCGCTCGACCTGATAGGTAGGCACCTGAGGTAGAGGTGCTTCCGAGCCCATAGTGGCGTAGGTCCTGCGTGCTTTGACATGCTCTCGATGGGAGATGTCCATCTCCCGAATAGCCGAGAGAGCCGACTTGTAGTCCTTCTGGTCCCTCATGAGCACCTTGACCATCTGCGCCGAGCGCTCGTCGAGAGAAACTCCTTCCTCCAGGAACATCAGTTTCCACTCGTCTGGAAGCGGCAGCCCCTGAGTAGCTACCCTGTCGAAGGCCGTGTCCACACGTGCACAATATTCGGTGAGATTATCTCCCTGCTTGCGTGAATAATCCAGTAAGCACTCTCGAGCGACCTTCCGTCGCTCGTCGCCGTGTCTTTCACCAGACATCAAGTCAAGGCGTTTGATAATGGCGTCGGAACCCCATGAGCTGCATAGCGTGTCGTCGTCGAGGTCCTCGAGCTTCCGTTGAAGGTCTTGATCAAGAGAGCGGAAGAGGCGATCAGCCTGCTTGTGGGAGGGAACGTCCGTCAGTGTTCTCCAGCGCAGCACCGTGCGGCGCCACATGCGGTAGTCCCCCCAGCCTCTCCATTTCTCGGGGTCGGCGAAGTCCTTGCTGGTGTTCGTGCTGGGGCGGTCGTCATCATGTCCGGAGTGGCGCTTATTGGGCTCCCACTTGCTGTCCTTGTAGCTGTCGTTCCATCTCCATCCGGATGACCGGTCGCCCCAATGCTCATTTTTCCAATGCCTGTCCCCGTAGCTCTCCCAGGTCGAAGCCGGAGTCCAGGTGGATCGCGAAGAAGCCCACTGCTGCTCGCCAGGCTTGTAGTCCGGCTCCTGCCATGTGCTTCTCGTCGCGTCCCAGCCACCCGAATGCCACTGCTCCGACCTGCCCTGGGACGTCTCGGTGGCGGACGCGGCCGCGCCACCACCTGACCATGTCCCGGCACTCGTCGACTCGTGTTCTGGCGGTGGTGCATGCCAGCCTGACCACGAGCGATCCTCGGCGCTTGACCACGGAGCACTTGAGCTCTGCCCGTGACCGCGCCGACGCCCACTGTCATCGTCGTCCCCATGTGAATCACGCTGGTGACTCTGGGAACTGGCCGGCACCACGTCCAGTAGTAAAAGACGTGCCAACTTCTCTGCCTCATCTTGGTCGAGGTGGAGACCGTCATGCCTCATCAGTGTGTCAGTCACTGCCCGTACTGCAGAATGCTCCCCTCGTTCTTCTCGCTGTGTCTCTCGATTAGCACCTTGCTCCGCTGCTGCCGTCATTGGTCCGCGGACTCAGAGCTGCTCACTGCTCCGCTACCACTGTCGCCCGGCGGACGACAGCAGTGAAGCCAAAGTGTCGGATCTTTTCTCCAGCAAGAGAACCCTCGTACTCTCTTGTCAGTACACAGCTCCCAACGCTGTACAAACAAGGCGCGGAACGGTATGGGAAAGGAAGAGGGGTAGGGTGGATATGGTATGAGTGATGAGGAATGAATGGAAGTTGGGTCTTGAGCCAAAATGGTTACGACCCATGTTCGTGACCTTCAAGCTCAGGGAGTCTAGCAGGGGCATCGGCCTTGAAAACCACCGGCCTCTAGACTCAAATCACACAGCATCATCATCAGCAGCAGGATCACCCCATCATGCCACATCCAATCATGCCATGCATCCGGTTCAAATCTTCGAACATATCCGGACGTACATTGTGTGCTTATACTCTTTGAGCTGGATATCGTCTCTACTCTCGCCAAGCTCTCACGCCACCCATTCCTTCACAACCTCCCCCCCCGCCCCCTCCCTCCTCCTCCTCCCTCCTCCTCCTCCTGGTCCTCCTCATCCTCATCCTCCTCCTCCTCCTCCTCCTCCTCCTCCTCCTCCTCCTCCTCCTCCTCCTCCTCCTCCTCCTCCCACTCCTCCTGCTCCCTCCTCCTCCTGCTCCTGCTCCCTGCCCCTTCCCTCCTCCCTCTCCCCCTCCCTCCTCGCTTCCCTTTTTCTTCCCCTCCCCTGCCTGCCTGGTGAGAGCGTCGGGTCTGGCAGGCCTGGCCTCAGGTATCCGCAGGGTCCGCTCCAGGCCCCCTCCCTCCAGTCCAGAGCATGGTCGGGCGCCCTCGTCGTTGTGGCCGCACTCTGACACTGGAGAGGGGGGCCCCTGGATCCTGGCCCTTCGATCCCTGCGTCTCTCCATCCCCCTGCCAGCTCTGAAACCATGACTCGCTCCGTGGCGCCGCGGGAGCCTCGCTGAGGGGTCAGGATTGCAGACGCCGGCGGGTGGCTGGGCGAGTGGACTGCGGGTCAGTGTGGGCTCGGGCTCGGCTGCTCGCGGGGCGCCCTGAGGCCGCTGGTGCTTCCCGGCCCTGCTACTGCGTGTGCTGCCGCCCCCACCTGACTGCAGCCTTACCTCTCAGCTGAGCCGCCCAAGCCCGCCCCAAACCGCACGTGGGTCTCAAACCATCCTCCGCGATGGATTCAGGAGGCGTCGGAGCGATCCCTGAGGCCAAGAGGCAGAAACTCTCGAAGGGCGAGGGAGTAGCTGCGCAGCCAACTATGCCACTGGAGGGAGTTCAGCGCTTCTGGTTGTCGCACCGCCCCAGCCTCAAGCACTCCCTGTCCTCAGCCGCGGCAGCACCCAGAGGGCCCCTACAAGAAGACGCTGTTCGAAAAGAGCGTCAAGCAGCAAAGGTCCATAATGAACCCCACGGAGCAGCAAGCGTGAATAGCCGCAGCGTCCGCGGGAGGCCCGCCCCCGGGGCAGAGCACACTCTCCCTTTCGAAAGCAGCGCGGGACTCTGCACTCCCGGGCACGCAGCAGGGGGGCGAAGTCGCAGGGACGGGCCCCGGGCCATGTCCAGGCATGTAGCCTCCCCCGGATCAGGCCCAGCGGACGCAGACGCCGAATGGGGCTCCCTGCCGCGGTGGTGCGACAGCTGCGGCGCGAGTGGGGTCCCACTCACAGCGGGACATGGGCACTTCCAGAACAGGGCGTACTGCGCCAGCTGCTGGGCCTCCTGGGAAGACGCGCGCGCCAACGGGAACGACCTGAAGCAGGGACCCCAGCAGCCCGCGGAAGACCCAGGACAGGCCGCCGCTCCCATGCAGCACGAGGCCCACGAACCTGCGGGCGCCGGGGACCGCGGGCTCCCGCTCGCATGTGGAACCCTGGAGGCGCCGACCGGCCTGGAGACGCTCAGCGCCCCGCCCCTCCCAGACACCCTCGGGGCCGAGAAAGCCTCGGAACCGCTCGCCCTGCCAGCGAGTTGCCAGGGCTGCGGGGCGACGGGAGCCCAGCTCTCAGAGTACGGTACTGCCAAGGCTGTTGCGGACACTGGGCCGCGACCCAGGCGGCGGCGACAGAGGCCCCTCCAGCGCCCCGCGCAGGGCCGCACCACGCCAGTCCGGCCGCCGCGGCGGCGGCAGCAGGGGGCCCAGCCGACTCGGGAGGCGGAGGCTGCAGGCCTCTTGCCGCGAGCAGCCCCCCAGGCGGCGCCCAGCACACCCCTGCTGCGCCGGCTGCGGGGTCTCTGGGACGACGCTCCTCACGGACGGGACGGACGACGGGTTCCAGCTCCTCTGCGGCAACTGCTGGGTCGCACGCCACCCCCCTGGAGCCTGCCGCCGCGTGCGCGCCGCCGGCGGGCGCGTCTGGAGACACGCGCCCCCCGGCGCCCGCCCCACTCCAACACCCAGGGCCAGGCAACCTGCCCCCGTCGGCGGACCCGCTTCTCCCGGAGCACTCGCGCCAGAGCCAGGCGGGCCTGAGCGGGCCAGGCGGGCCGGGCGAGCCAGGCGGCCTGGACGACGCCACTGGGACCGCCGGTGGGTGAGGCTCCTCCCCACTGGGGAGCTGCCCTCCGACCGCGAGTTCCTCTCCTGGGCGGCCACCCACGAGGAGAACGCAAAAGCGGCGCCTCTCCGCTCGGGAGGCGCCAAGCGCCAAGTGCCACATGGTGCTACGTACCACAGGGCAGCCCGACCCCGTCTGGCATCCTGATCAAAGTGGGGAAGAAACGCGGAGCCGTACACATATGGTTCCAGAAAAAAGGCCGCGTGCATTTCTCGGCGTGCAGAGAGCAGTCGGAGAGGATCCTCAGGAAAAAGGGCGCGTGGACAACTCCATGAGATTCAGGTGAAGCCCCGACAATACCAGTGACGCAACCGGCCTTGCCGCCGCTGCCTCCGACCAGTTGGACGCCCACTTCAGTGGAGGAGCACCGCTGGAGCCCTGTCCCGCCTGTCCGCGGGATGATGCCGAGGGGTATGGCAAAGGATTTTTCAAGAGATTCCCGCTGGAGGCGTGGATCCACCCCTGCCCCCTCCTCTCCTGTCTCCCATCTCGCACGGCTGCGGCCCCGACCAGGGCCAGAGAGCCCACGTCGCAGCACGACACCAGCCTTGCTGCCAACTGCCACGAGGTGTGAGGGAACTCCGTGTGGCGTCGCGGTCGACCCCTCCCCGCTCCTCCTCCAACCTCGTCGAAACGCGCACCATCTCGCCTGTGGCCGCCGCCCCCCCTCCCCCTCCCTCCCGCCCCTCCTCCTGGCTCCACGCCGAACTAGGTCGGACCAGGCTGGGTCGGGCCGGGTCGAGGTCTCCTTGGGGTTGTTGTCGTCGTCGCCTGGTGTCGCTGCCGCCGCCGTCGTCGTTGTGCGTCTCCGCCGTCGTCGTCCTCGTCGTTGTCGTCGTCGGCCTCGTCGTCGTCGTGCTCGTTGCTTGTCGCCCTCCTTCGGGGCGGTGGCTTCCCCTCCTCCTCCTCCTCCTCCTCCTCCTCTTCCTCCTCCTCCTCCTTCTCCTCCTCCTCCTCCTCCTCCTCCTCCTCCTCCTCCTCCTCCTCTTCCTCCTCCTCTTCCTTCTCCTCTTCCTCCACCTCTTCCACGCCGAAGGAGAGAAGGGACAGAGGCGGGCCAGCAGCAGCAGCAGGGGGGGAGGTAGTCCCGAACAGTCCACCTGCCAAACGGGGGTCAACGCGGACCCCTCCTGGGTCGGCGCTAGACCCCCCTCCCGGTTGCGCGCTTCGCTGCCGGTGAAACGGGGGGAGGAGGAAAAAGGACAGCGGCAGCCAGGGCGCAGGAAAAAACAAGCAGGGGCGACCGGCCGAAGGAGAGGAGGAGAAGAGGGGGCGTCGAATCACGTCGGCGGGGGCGGAGGGCGGAGGCCACCGCGGCGGGGTCCCGGGGGCGGGAGGCTTCGGCCACCATCGCCACTAGCGGTCGTCGGCGGTGGGGGGCGGGGGCGGCGGAGCGCGGGGGGCGGGGGGCAGCAGCCGCGCAGCCGTCGCCGTCGTCGGCGTCGTGGTCCCTGCGTCGTTGTCGGCGCGGGTGTTGCCGCGGGCAATGGCCCTGCTAGCGCCTTCCCGCTAGCGTCGGCTCAAGAGATTCGGGGCGCTCCTGGTAGAGCCTCAGCGCCCGACGGCCGCCGAGATAGTCTCGGCGTTGCCGAGATGCAGCCGGGTGCTGAGCTGCTGCCACCCATAGCGGATGACCTCTGTCCGCTCCGCAGGGGCCATGTCGTGACCCCGCCGGGGCCATGTCGTGACCCCAGGAGCGGACGTACGCCACGGTGGCGTCTCCCCGGCGGCCTCCTGTTTCGAAGATGACCAGGATGATCTGGCCCCCCTCGGGCGGGTAGCGCTCCCGCTTGGCGTCCTCCGCGCTGGTGGCGGCGAGGCCGTCCTTGTTCGAGCGAGCCTGCTGGCGCGGCGCGGTGCCGCTGTGCGCGCAGGTCACGCTCGTGTCCAAGAACACTGTCTGGCCGGTCACCGCGTCGCGGGTGGCGACGTCGAGCCGCGCCTCTTCGAGGCGCCCTGTCCGCGGGTCCAC